GGAGAACAGAAGAGTTGAAACTTGCCGGAGACAGGGAAGAAGGAGTAAAATAGGTGGAGAGCTGGCTCTCAAGGTGGGACAGAGCCAGCTCCCTTTTAAAATTGGTTTAGGGCTCTCAGAGAGGAAGTGGGAGCCGGCTCCCTCAAGCAAAGAGCCGATTCCATGGGTTGGGGAGCCGGATCCATGGGTTGAGGAGCCGGCTCCCTTATGTGTAGAACCGGTTCCATGGTTAATGGAGCCGGCTCCCTTTGTGGTAGAGCATGCTCTTGTCATGATGCGTACAGAATGTGTTTTTAGGCACTGTTTGGATGTTTTAGGGTTCCAGAACTGTTTTGAGTTAATGTTGGGGATTCTAAATAATTTTTCATGACATATTAAAATCCCATAATGCATAATTTATATCTATATGCAAACGATTAGAATAATATGAAATTTTAAACAAGTTTTCATGTTGTTAATGGGTATAGAGGATTTAATTACTTAATATTATTTTAGCAACTTAAATGACTGTGACATAATTTTTAAATCTTATATTGGATGCATAATATGGTCATATACATATCAGATTTTTATTATGCTTATTCTAGATTAATTGATGTTTTAACTTATTTTTATCTCATCAATTATTGGACTGTATGGATGTGATGTACCAGTATAAGATGGTGGCATCTTAGGGATGGATTAACTAATAAAAGTTAACTCCCTCCTACTTGGATATATAAGGGAATGGATTAACCATAGAGTTAAGTACTACTTATTTATGTCAGGCCACAATATCAGATAGATGACATTTTTGTATTAGGCTTATACAAACTTTATATATATATGATTATGGTGTCATGATATGAGCTTGAGTTTCAGGATCATAGTTAAGGTGCATATATTGCCTAGGATGGATAACTGGATATAGTAAACATGTGGGTGCCCTAGTAGGTCTAGGTACACGTGCCCACTTTATGTGCAATTTGTATGTTACCTTCTATTCAGGTTGAGACAGACCTATAGTCCAGTGAGCGTCTTATAGTGTATATTTATATATATTTATGAACTTTTTAGCTATTGTTGAGTTGTTTAGGATGTATCTGTGTATCGGGTCTCTGTTTGGATCGTAGTAGAGTAGAACTTGTTCGTGAGTCTAACCCACTATTATTTTTCAGGTGTTCGACAGTTCCAGGCTTAGAGCTTATTCGTGCCCGGCAGAGACAATCACTCACTTTTTTTACTACGTAGAACTTTGCTTCATGTTTTAGTTTTGGTTTTCTTTTCAGTTCAGTTATTTTAATTACAGTTTGGATATTATTAGGGGTCTATTAGATGGATTCCCGAGTTGTAATATTATTGGAGGTTTTGGAATATTGGATTATTTTATTAATACTTCGAGGATTTATTATTTAGATTTCTTTCAACTTAATTATTTTTTACTCCCTCCGTCCCTTATTAGTTGTCCATCTTTAGTTTTATAACTTTTTAAGGGGACATGCAATTAATGCATTGTCCCCTTTTCAAATTACTAAATTGTCCTTTAAATATTAAATATATATAACACCAAGTTGTAAAATTTTTGAAAAGTTAGAAGAGTAATTATGGAAAGATGACATTTATTTTGTTTGACTTTTCAAAATGGACATTTATTTGGGACACTCTAAAAAGGGAAAATGGATTACTATTATGGAACAAATGGAGTATTATTTTATTCTTCTTGTATTCTATGCTTGTTTATACACTTAATTATTTAGTATCACTTGGATCTATGTTCGGACTTGATCACCCGTGGCTCTAGAATCGAGGGGTATCACAATAAGCACTATGTTAATAGATGCTACTTGTCTCTCAGAGAATGACTATTTAGATCACTTATCTTCAGGTGTAGATACAGCTCACTGATTTGGAGATTTCTTCAGGAGATTACAGGATTTCATTCACTCCCCAATAGTTGAATGGATTTAATCCAATGGTATTCAACACATTGGACCTCTTCTGATTTCTTGACACAACTCTTACTTTCTACAGCAATCTATTTCCTATGGCAGGAGAGAAATAATAGAGCTTTCAGAATTGTCTCTACTTCCCACCATCACATCATTTCTCAAATCAAGACTTGCATCAGAGCACAACTTACAGCAATCAAGCTTAAAAGGGGTTCCAACCTTAGGCAAATCACAACTAAGCATGACCTTCATAGTCTGTTTGTGCAGGCATGTTCAAACTCTGGTATGCATTATTGGTTAATCTTATAGCTATGTAGAACATACCTGAGGTAGTGTGAGATTGTTTTTCACTTCCACTTTGCTAGTTAATAGTCAAAGTGTTGTTATAATGATGTATTACATTGGAATGTGCTTGTAATGGTTGTATAGTAGGCTGCAGTAAGCTACATTGCATTGCATTATTTTGTTTTGTTTTGGCTGTGGTGATATTAGTTTGCCACTGGTTGTATTGTTTCAGTTCATTCCCCTCCTTAGGGACTCCATGTATATTATTCCTTTCTTTAATACAAGCTTACCCTTTAACTAAAAAAAAAAAGTCAAACATACTCCAAAGGCATACTCCCAAGGCAGTGAGGTGAAACAACACAATATCATTATCATGACAGATGGTAGACCATACTTGCATTAAGGCACACTACGCATACTACAACCAAAGAGAATCAACCATACTTGCTCAACCAAATTGTTTCAAGCAAAGGATATTCAATTAAATCAAATTAGAAACCAGGATTGTCCATTTGCAAGTGAACAACCTTACATAAAAAGCTAATGCATATAACACCCTTGAATATGCATCTCGTCAATAATTTTTTTAAAATTTAATTAATAACAGTTGTATAATCACTAGTATGATAATCATCGTGTTTATCATACTACCAATTAGAACAATGAATCATATTATTTGACGATAAAATGCTAATAAGTTTGATCTACTAAAATGTTGAGAATTAATAGAAAATTTATAATAAGAAATTTAATGCATATGTAATTATATTTTTAGTTATGATTTCGTAAGAAATGAAAGAAATTAAGTTCAACCCTTTTAATAATGTCAAATTACTAAGGTCTTGTTTGTCTCTCATAATTAGTAATATAGAGAGAGATGGAGATTAAACTAATCTGTAAATGGGTCTATTTACATATTTGTACAGATTTTCATCCTAATAATTAAACATATGTGTGTGTGTGTGTAGTTGGTAAGAATGGTATGTAATTGGTAAATTTATATATATGTATGTTGTATACATAGTTTATATATATATATATATATATATATATATATATATAAACTAACTATATATAAACAACATATATATATATATATATATATATATATATATATATATATATAGTTTGGTTGATAAAGAATGAAGCAAAGAGTATGGAGGGTTAGTTTGGTCCAATAAAATAAATTGTAAAGGTTAAAAATGTAATTTTATTATTCATATGGGTCAACTAATAAGTCAAAAGGCAATAATGTCAATTTATCATGGGTCAGAAGTGACAAGTGGTCATTAGTGGTGTCTTTGTTAACTTTATCAGACGTATAGAGTTTTATTGTTAAAAAATGAGTCAACTTGTATATGCATGTCAATAGAGCAAATAATTTACCCTAAATATTACTATAAAGATAAGACATGAAAGTAATATCATATATAGTATTTATATATGGGGGTATTTATATATATATATATATAGAAAGATAAACAAATTAAAGCATCACTTTGCAGCTAAGGCACGACCACTTCTATAAAGGTGTCATGTCGATTGTGTCGTATTAGGCACTCCTCGACGCATGGCTGAACGATACTTTATATTTTGCCCATAATTTATAAATAATTTTTATTATTTCAGATACTTTACTTGCACATTTTGAACACTTCGCTTCCATCTTTCGTCCTTACCGCAAGACCGCTGGCGAAACCACCGGACATCAATGTAGGAGTTTGAGGAGATCTTCTCCATGAGCCTCGCAGCAGAGTTTGCCTCCAACGGTCTTCTTGTCTCTTGGTTGGGCTTCTTTGATTGGGACTTACGTTTCTTTCAACTATATGGGCTGTAATGTTTGACAGTTATGTTTGTATTTGGGCTGCATTGGTTAGCATTGGGCTAGCCTTTGTTTGGCTGTTTTTTATATTTAAAATCTAAATCTGAACTTTCAAAATATATATATATATATATATATATTAAACACATATTTCAAATATCTTCATCTTCTAATTAACTTATGTAACTTTAACCTAAAAAATATATATTAATTAAAATTTTATAATTGTTTTAGATTAAATAAAAATTTATAACTGTAAGTTTTAGACTTAGCCATGTTGTGTTCATGTCTTACTTTTAAAAAATTTGACTTGTAAATGTGTTTGTCTTACTTTTAAAAAATTTGACTTGTGAATATGTTTTTGTCGTATTCATGTCATATCATGTTTCTTAGCTATGAAGAAAACTGGTCTTAGAATATGAAACCAAACATATTTTAGGCCATTATTTCCTCTTTTATGCAGTTAAAAAAGCACACAAAACGGTTTATAAAACTCGTCTAAACAAGTTAACAGGCCCAAGGTTTGCAATGACTTCTTTTGTTCGTACACTTTCTTCAACGACCATAGAAGGTGATTGTGTTGCGAAATTAACTTAGAAAACACAAGAAAGATATTAAACATACATATATAAGAACACACAAATTTTATTTGATTCACCCAAAAATCAGAGGTACGTTCAAGGGTTGTAAAAAATTTACTATGATGATCAAAAATAATAGCGGATACGTAAAATTCAAAATTAATGAATAAATATTCTCGCACTAGAACGACATAATAAGTGCAAAAATTACCAAATACCCTCCAAAAAAAATAGGAAGTTGAGATTTGGTATATAATATCTATCAGGCTCTACACTACTCATCAAATTATTGGTTCTCAGAAACTTTTGTCCTTATTCATGTAGCAATGATTAAAGAAAATATAGTGGCTCTTTTGTGAACAAAAAATAAAATAAAAATTCCTATTTTATGAGAAAGCATAAAATACCAGAGTACTTACCAACCAATGAAATATGGTACAAATATTTATTAGTTACACTGCGCGCAGCAACACAACACACATGCATTAAGCCTTTTAGGCTAGCCAAAGAGCAAGGGATCGACCCTGCAGACACAATACAGACATCTTTATTACATATAGTAAATATTAATCTTTCTTAAAACTAAAATAATTAATTAGACTTCATGCATGCATGATGTATAATCAATCCTCAATTTGCATCATGCATGGTTAATAATGCCTAGCTTTGAGTGATCGCTGCAACAGCTATACATGATGTACGTATCCATTGGACGGCCACATTCAGCGCAGACCGCCCTCTCCGCAGGGAGGCTTGCGGCACTCTCAGGCAATATAATACGGTTGCAGTGATGCATGTCGGTGTAGAGGCCGGAATGGAGGAGGTGGTGATTGAGTGCAGGCACAAAACCAACACTCGGCACACTTTCCTTCCACAAATCATAATGTGTTAAACTCTTCAGCATAATGTCACCCTTTCCTTTAGCCATGTCCGATGTGCCTTTACTGATCAAAGCCCATCCTTGCTCACTGCCATGGAAGCTGATCATCGTCGAGATCTCTTGCATTATCGAATCGTGCTTTGCCGATTTGCTCTTTGAGTGCCACATGCTCTGCAGCCTCTCCCAAAAGAACCAGATGAAATCTTCAGGTATATGACCGAGATTCTTGTCACCAATGAGCTTCTTCTTGTTCTTATCTTCATCCCCTGGCTCGCTTTTCCCCATGTAGAACGTCTCGAACTTGATGTTGGCCGCTTTCGCAACCGAATTCAGAGTTTCTGTAAATTCAGAAATCCATTCCTTGCTCCCCCCTCCATACAAGCAAATGTACTTCCCATCATTGATCTGAAATTGAACAAAAATTCTCTTTTTTTAATAATAATATAAAAATGAACTAAGGCCAAATTGTGCATGTGTACATAAATGATCGAGTCATGATACGTAGTCTGACCGTAGGACAACTCCAAGTATTTTTATGTGAGTGGGGCTGATGTTAGTCCCAATCAATGAGATTAATCTGAGTGTCAGACTGCATGTCATTTTTCCAACATAAATATAAGAAAAATGTCATTACCCAACTAAGGATAGGTTCTATGGAGTCTACTAACAACTCAATCGTCCAGGTCTTTTCCTCCCAAAGCTCATTCTCTCTAGAGCTAGTGAATGGGGATGCCAATACGATACCCCAAATCCAAATCATGTGGAATGCATTATTGTTCACAACTTTCCCATTTAGTGGGTCTAACACCACAAGGATTGGCTTCTTGTTGAATTTCCAATGGTCCTTGATGAACATGATGACCGGGGGATCGAGCAAGGTAGGGTGAGCCAGCGAGTACCATGGCTGCAAGGCCAGTCTTTCCTCAAATTTCTCTTGCATTTCGTTATTCCATGGCGTTGATTTGTCCACCACCGGCAGCCACACCACCTCGTATTGGCCCTCCCCCGTTGTTGCGTCCTGCCGCGACTCCTTGTACATTTGGTGCAGAAACCAGAGTTCTTCAACACGGGAAACCTCGAGGGTCGAAATGAATAGCAACACAGTCTTTTTTCTCAATACATTAATGTTGGCCTGTAGTCAAACATAGAAATTAATATCAATTCCCCATATATATGTATATGTTAAATTATTAATGGGAATTTAAGTGATGTTCTTCTAAAAATTCAATTACTAGACAATAGTTCATTTAAAAATAAAAAATAAAAAAATCTCAGTCAAAACTGAAAACCATTACGAATAATGATTCTCAAGCCTAAAACTATGACAACCTCGACTAGACTTCTCGGTTAGAGTCATAACTAGGTCTAAATAGCATTGTCTCGTCAGAAAACTAAGGCAAGCTAGCAAAATGATTAATTATGTAATAATCATGATATATAGATAGACATTGCTAATGGAAATAAAGAACATAAAAGTAAATTTTGAGGTGGCTTATGAGCAAACCGATTTCCTGGTAGGACAATGAATGAGCTGGTCCTTCTTGGCTTGAATCAGTAAATTTAGAGGCTTTAGGTTATCACGTCCCGTCGTGCTTCTCTCGAAAAGGAACACGAGTGTTTGACATGCTTCAATTATTTTCTTCTCTTCTGCATTCATCATTCCAATAGTTTATTCGTACATAAAATTACATTCTTTATATTCCATCAGAGTCTTTTTTAAGATTTGACTAAAACTAGTAGCATATATTACATGGTCCATAAAATTAATTAAAAAAAAAAACATTTAGACAACTCACCAATGTATTCGTAACAAAGATCCAGTTGCCCCTTCAGTTCCCTTTGTATGTGTTCTAAGTGAGAGAGCTCAACATTAGCCTTCGTGGTTGATGCTCTGTATGTACCCGAGAGCAATGATTAATTTTCGTATTGTTTGCATTGCATTGCATCGCATACATAGTAGTGAAAATTGATTACATATATGGAGCATGCTAATCCTCTCTAAATTTCCATCTATCAGGGGGTCTAAAGGTTATAAATTTTCTATTTTTCACAGCCTAGATGTTAAATCGTGTTATAGGTTATTGTCCCACATCAAATGCATACAAGGGGGTTTTGGGCTTACAAGGACGGATAAGCAGCAATACCTAACAGTTTAAGATACCCGCTACACGGAGCTTACCTTAAGTTTTTGAAATCGAATAAAATATTGCATGAATATGAATTTCAAGTTCATATGATATGAAGATGATGAAGGAAAATAGAACTTAAGATGAAGGAAAATAGAACTTACTCATGAACCAAGCCTACGAGGTTCATAATTCTTGATATACAAGCCACAATACTCCTAATAGTCCGGTAGACAGCCATGGGGATGATTTGAGCATTGGCTTTAGACATTGCACCGGGGTCAATGTACTCAAGCGGAGGCTCCTTGAACTCGATAATGCACCTGGCCACTTCAAGCATGGCGTTGATGAGGTTGCCGACGCTAGTCAGTGCTTCATACTTGTCATTCGAAGAGTCGGCAATCTGTAGTATGTCCGGGAGTTGCTTGAGGAATGCAATGGACTTGGCAAGTGGGTTGGTGGGGTAAAATTGAGCAGCTAGCCAATATTCGCCATAGTTCACCGCAAAAGCTGCCAAGGCTATGGCCGCCTTCGCATCCCATGCGTAGCTTGAAAGTGTTTTGAGAATTGCCAGAGTGGCCTTGTGCGCATCTTCTCCTCCATAACACTTGCATGATATCTGTCACAAAAACAATATTTTAAAAACATTGAAAACAGAAATTGTAGGTCCATTTTGTTTCAGTTTTATGATAACTGAAAATAAAAAAATTATATAAAATTTACTTAGTTGATAGCTTCTGAGAACTGTTTTGAAAACTAAGTTTAAAAAAAAATTAATAATAATAACATATTTTTATAGAAATGTCTTTTTTTTTAAATTTTTCACTGTTTTCTAGTGACAAACCATGTACTCTGAAATATTTTTAAAATTTGAAGGGTACCCGAATATCAACTCAGTACGTATATATGTGTGTATATATATGTTGTGGGACTTAAATAGTATACCTCGAAGGAAATTTTGTTTATTGTGTTTGCCAAAGGCCTAAGGATACGAACGGTCTTGTCATCCAATACATCCAATATTTGTCCTTGATTTCCCTGCAGAAATGGTTCAATGAGTACTAGCAAATGCAAAAACAGAATTGCATCACATAACAAAGGAGGAGGAGGAGGTTAAATACATGAACAATGCCGGAGATGGTAGGGGTTGAACGGAGCACGACATCCTCGACGATGAGGAGAATAGGTTTGACATCAAACTCGCTGCCATCTAGACGGTGATCATGGTGTGTGGCCAGAATTTCCTTCAGCAACGCGTCATCATCGGATGCCGAGGACACGTCGGTATCGGTTGTCTTCGTCTGTTGAATCGCAATATCAGCCATGAAGCCAAAGGTGAGGTTGTGTATATATCAGAGAAGATAGATTATGGCAATAGCTTGGTTGTGCTGGTTTTTACATACTTGGCTTCCTCATAAGAGACACATATACATATAGCTAATGGAAAGTGGAATAAAGTTAACTTCCCAAAAAAAAAGTGGAATAAAGTAAAGCCAGTGAATCAATTAGTACCTTGCTTCCAAGGTGGTCTATATTTTAAACTCCTATAAGAGTTTTAGAATTTTCTACACGCGTTTCGCGGAAGTGATTAGTTAATTTAGTATTACATGATGTTCCTAATGACCTAGAGAGGATGAACAAGTCTCAAGTGATTAGTTAATTTAGTATTGCATGATGTTCCTAATAACCTAGAGATGTGAATAAGTCTTGCTCAATTGTTGGAATTGATTTATGGAATCTTAGATCGACAAGAAAGTTCAAACAACACGAAAGTTCAAGCGTCTACAATGAAGATAGCATAACTATCATTTTTGTGATTGATTTATGGAATCTTAGATCGACAAGAAAGTTCAAACGACACGAAAACTCAAGTATCTACAATGAAAATAGAATAACTATTATTCTTTCTTATATTGGAAGAGTCCCATGGCAAGAGACCAGTACCAAAAATTACATAAAGAGTCTCTTTTTTGTATTCAATCATTCAAATACTAACTTGATCGTCCCGAGCGTATAAGGTGGCACCACTCCAGTGCCAGCCTCTCTTCTCTTGCAAGGACGGAGTTTGGTTCCAGGTCGTTCATAATTTCAAATTAAATCAACAATATATGTAATTATTTTGATAATTAATCTCTCAAAGGGCATCTTTTCTAGAAGGAAATTTCATTAAAACGATGACTTCTTCTTTTCTTTTCTTTTCTTTTCTTCTTCTTCTTCTTCTTCATTTTTTTTTTTTTTTTTTTTTTTTTGTCATATTAAAACAATGACTAGGACAGCCTACAAAACAATTTTCCCGATAACAACATGGAGTCATGGACCAAGAATTAATCCCATCTTATTATAAAATTAATACTCCACTTTGTATGACATTTTAATTTTTTAAGTATAAGAGTAGTTTATTTTCTTTTCATTTTTGTTTTCGAGGCAATAAATAAGTATATTGTTAAAAGCCAGATTATGGAGAATTACAACCTCTCAAAGCTATGTCCTTTATATCAGAAGGAATAGCATCACAAAAAAACTCTCCCCTTTAGTATTACCCATTTTGCTTGAATAATGAGTTACATTGGCATTTCTACTGACCCACTTGGAATGGCAACTTTCACACGGATTCGACCAAAAAAAATATATTAAAATAGAAAGCATTAATAGAACATTTAAGACTGCATACAATTCTGTTCAATGCGGTATAAAGTTAAATTACACCTTAATCTATTCCAATAACAGTTTTTAAAAAATTAGAATTAGAATCGAAACCGTTAAACTTTGGAACCGAACCAAATCATAAAAGATTGGTTTGGTTCGGTTCTAAACCACGGTTAAGGAACTTTTAGAACCTTCTAAATAAAATAATGTAATAAGACACTATCAAAGGTCTCCCTAAGCCACCAGTAGTGTGGTACTACTAGCTTGTTAGAAATTGTGTTTAAAATTTTATTGTAATTATGTTTCTATTTTAGAATTGTATTTTATTAAGTACCTAGTTTTTAGACTCTAAGAAACTTCTAATAAGGAATTAGGTTTTGAACTCTATAAATAGATAGCTAGGTTATTGTTGAGAGGGTTGAAATTAATAGGTAGAGAGGGAGAAAAAAAATACTTGGTCAAAAGTTTGTGTACATATGGTTTGGTGTTGGAAATTCTCTACCTATATTATTATAGTGAAAACTTATGATCTAACCCTGATTTTGGGTGAACCGTGTAAATCTTGTGTTCTATGTGATTATGCCCGTTGTTTGCTTTCGTTGTACCACAGCAATTGATATCAGATCCGATGGTTCATGTTGGGAAGTTCAGCTTTTATTTGAAGGAATTTGAAAAACACAAAGAGTTTCAATCACAAATTCATGCAACGAGTTTCGGTTGCAAGTTGAGTACTCAATCTATTTGTTTGATCATAAAGGTGATAAAATAATGATGCGTTACTTGACATGGAGCTCGAGCAGTCCAGGCGAAGCCTCAAAAGTATAATTGATCGAGCAACATATAGCAGGGACAATTAGAGTTTTGCATGCAGGAGGTATCATCACGATTGAAGCTATAATGAAATGTCCAAATCAATGCTGTGGAATTTCCACAATTGACTTGATGGAATTTGAGCCAATTAAAGTGGAGATTATTAGGAATTATGTCTCAAATTCCTATTCTAATTAGGTTTCTATTTTATAATTTTATTGTATTAGGTTATTTCTTAGTAGACAAGTATGGGGATATAAGGAATTGTAATCCTTGTCCCACAAAGAATTAAGTTTTCAGCACCATAATTAGACAACTAGGTTGAGGGTTAAGAGTTATGAGTTAACATATATGTAGCCTTATAAGGCCAAGTTGGAGATGATGGGTAGAGGTGTAGTTAAACGTTGGGTTACATTTTTGGGTTGTGTGAACATTAATGAGAGGGAATCTCACGGAATATACGAAGAACTCTAAGAGACTTTGTGTGCATGGTCGGGTGTTGAAAATTATTTTACTATTATAATATCTTTATACATGATATAGTGAATTTCATTATATTAATCCGTAGACATAACCCTAATTTTGGATGAATCACGTAAATCTTGTATTTTGCGTGTGATTGCTCTACTCTATCATGTCTTTCGTTGGATCTCAGTGTTTTGTGTGCTTCCGTTGTACCCCAACATAGCTTACTGTTAATATTAGAATATAAATTGTATGCAAAAATGATAGTAGAAAGAAAAATGGTAAATGTCATGATATGAATCTTGAATGACGTGACTTGATTTTACAAGGAAAGACTTATAATAATAATGAGTTTTAATAGGTATTTACGATCAACAAAAGAACAAAAAATTATAATCAAAATTAGGATTTTTTTTTTCATCTTTGCATCGATGAAGGTAAGACTCTTAAACACAAAAGATATAATCAAAATTAAGATTTTTTTTTTTTTTTTCGTCTTTGCATCGTTGATGGTAAGATCATAAACACAAAAGATATCATAATCACACACACTATTGGCACCCATAACTCAAAAAATTTCAAAGCATTGATTAAGAATTCGCCCATGGAGGTAGATGATAATGTGTTCCAAAACTGTCATAATCCTAATAAATTCTGAAAAGAATATCAAATTAAAAATAATGAAAAATGGAACAAAATTATATAAATCTTCACTAAAATTTTCAATTCAGTTAACAATTGTTGAGAGATAATTCAAGCAAGTTTAAAAGAGAGGGTAAGTGGGCCAGCAAAAATTTGAGAAATATGGGATCAAAATTGGAAGAAACGGTGCCGTATTTACTTTCATGATACAAATCTGGAATTTTGATTCATAATGTGTATCACTGCTCTAGTAGAAATATTACTCCCTCAGTCTAAAAAAAATATCTTTCTATTTTTTTTTATCCCAAAATAAGTGTCTCATTTTCAAATCAATGTACTATTTTTTTTAATATTACCAATTTAACATTTTTGCATTGAACCCCTAAAACGTAAATCATCACATCATTGTAGACTGACTAGGGATAAAATTGACAATTCATTCACCACTAATACAATTTCAAAACAATAAATCATTCTCTTAAAAAATTAGATTCCCAAAAATGGACACTTTTATTGGGACAGAGAGAGTGAATATAACATTGAATGTATACAATTTTTTCGTAATGAGAGTATAAAATAGGTCTCCCCAAGGCTTGCACTTAATTTTAATAATTTTTCATATATACAATTTTATGTTTTAGTTTATGGTTTGTTTCGGTTCAGTCCTAATGGACTTGAAATTGGAACCGAAACCGTAAACAAACAATTTCTTATTTTTAAAATTAGAATTGGAATTAAATCATAGAAGAATCGTACCGACAATTCATATTAGTTAACTAATTTCAACAATTTTTTGTGCACCCTTAAGAATATTGAGGAAGTTTGACTCAATGAGCACCTTAGAACACCAAATCTTGCAATGTCCATGTCAGCACCATTTCGCTGCTGCTTTAGCTTTTTGTCATCGCTGCTTTAGCTTTTTGTCATCAGAGCAGAGGCAGAAATGAGCTGAACGAGGGGAGGAAAAAAAAAAAAAAAAAAAAAAAAAAAACAGTGGCATGCTTTCAAAAGTAGCCATTAGACATATAAACAAGGATTGTTGTAGGTTCATAATTATTTTTAAATCTACATTGATGTTGATAGCATGTGCATGATTCATGAATATTGGCAAGTTTAGTTTTTTTTTAAGTTAAAAAGTTTTGTTTTGTTTTGTTTCTTATGATTAGTTTGTATTTGTTTAATGAGTAATATACTTGGTAAGGATTTTGATTTGTGAAACACATTGCTGCTAGTAGATATAGATATTTGGTTATTCATGGAAAGCAAAGGACTTGCAACCATGTGAGCCCTACTTGGCTTTAAAGAATTCCATAAGGGCCATAACTCACCTAAAGCAAAAGTTCGGAAACAGGCCTGACATTCTGGTCTATAGCTGTGTAATGAAAAGGACATGGCCAAAAGTGATGGAACACAGATCCTCTAATGTAACAGCATCATCCTTTACGACAACGACAACTCTAATCATTCACACGTGTGAATGATTTAAGTAGTTCAAGTGCTGTGGGTCTTGTTACAACACTGGATCCGACCTCATGTTCGATGAGTGTATTACTAGGAAAAGCAAAAGATTTGTGTGGGGGCATGAAAATTCTTCTCTAAAACACATATAGTGTCTTAAAATGGTGAATATTTTTTAAAAGATCGGTGTTTTTAGTAACTTTAATACTTCACACGTGGACATCGATCTAATCCACGTCATAATCCATACGGGATTTCGAAAGTTATTAATGAAAAGTCGGTCGCTAGGAATCAAAGAATTAAATATGAATCTACAAAAAATATTTAATTGTGTGAACCGAAAACTTAACATTACTGTCACAAGAATTGCAAAACCTTATGAAAATCCTAACATTCTTACCCGGACAATTAAAGAATACAGTTTTATTTCACAAAGCAATGAAAAAGGCTCTGAAATTAACTGAACAAGAAGATAGCCGTCCAAGTGAAGTCGGTGTTATTACAACACTGGATCCAGCCTCATGTTCGATGAGTGTATTACTAGGAAAAGCAAAAGATCTATGTGGGGCATGAAAATTCTTTCTGAAACAGTTGCCACTCGAGGCCTCAGCCAAAGGCCCATAGCAAAAGCATTAGGCCTTGCTCTGAAGATATTGCCAAGGCTCACATTGTTCTTTGGACCATTTTACTTTAATGTGAGGCAAAGCATATCAGGCCCAAAGCCCAACCCATATTCAACGAACTTGATAACAGTTTTCTTGAATTATGAAAAAAAGAACAAAAGTTGTTTATGGAACCAGGCCTTTTAAATTAGAAGAAATGATTTATTGAGTAAGAAATTTATCCACAATAAATTTGTTATTTCTTTAACTATTTTTTGGTGTGGAAAAAGTTTTTTTACTTACCTATATGCAAGGAGAAACTTAAAAATTTCTTGACGAGTTTCGTGTCTCACAACTATCATGAACTCCACAGTTGTGAAACGTCCAACATCCGTGTGTTGTCAATTTTATTATTTCTCTATTTATACATATAATAGTAATTTACGGGCAATGGTAACTGCGGAATTCGGTTGGCAAGAAACTTACACACCTAATTTGCTCATTTGGAGACTACTCTCGTGTCGATCCCAATTAATCATCCTTTCCACAGAGGTAAAAATTGCCTCCTAAGCAAGAGGATAAATGAAGTAATTCATTTTCATAGGATCACACAAGATTCGTCACTACAAAAAGGATAATGGAAATTCTCACCATTCACTTTGAGAGGTAGAGGAGATACCACTGACCACGAGGCCATTGGTGAAGAGAGATATAACTTCAAGTAACCTTTAATAGTTTCTTTACAAATGTTTAGAAGTCATTAAATTAACATGATAGCTCATTCTTTCTCAAATGACAGCTTAAACTCAAGCAGTCTACTTGCAAAGAACTATGATGAACTCTGCAAGTTTATTCTACAAATGTTTGAAAGTAAGTGAACTTCAACATGATAGCCAAATGATCATGACAACACTGCCAAGTTCAGCTACTCAGTTGTGTATCACATTTATAGAGAACAAACTTCTCCATGGGACGCTTACATTTTTCACAGACTGCAGTTTTTTGGATCAATTCTTCAGCGAATGGGACAACACTATAGTGATCACAAGGCTCTGCAACAAGAGGAGGCGGCTCAAGAAAAGCTCTAATTTCATTCACTAATCCCAACTTGTCCACATTTTCTATAAGATTCAAGCAATTAGAGCCTTTCCCCAAGACCACCCATTCATTGTCATTTTCGTCGATATCCAGCAATCTTGACACCCCTTTTATGATAAAATCGTCGTCAAATGTGTGTCCTAGACGGAGTTTTGATTTTCTCATACTCTCCAACCGAAGCCAGAAGAATCGCATTTTTGTTGAAGTGAGTGAACCACTTAGCTTTTCCTCAACAATGGTGGCCAAAATGTCCTTTACGCCTTCACTTGGATTTTTCTTGCCAACATAGACCATCTCAAGCTGCCCTCCTGCACTTGTTATCTCCCTCACTTTAGCACTGAATTCTCTAATCCAATCTAGGTTGTCGCTTCCATAAATGCAAAGATTTCTCTCTTCTTCTACCTATCATATATAAAAATAAAATTAGCATAATATATATATATATATATATAGATATATGTCACAAGAATGCTTCATAAGATTTGAGTTGGAATCCTACCCACATAGCTAATAGGGGGTCAATTCCATCCATTAAAAGTTGTAAATTCCACTTATCTTCCTCCCAAAGCTCTCTCTCTCTTGTAGCTGAAAAGGGATATGCTCCGACACCCCAAATCAGCATCATATCAATTGCATTTATGTTTGTAACCATACCTTGTGAATCCAATACTACCATTAAGGGGTCCTCTTTGAAGCTCCAAACTTGCTTGATAAAGTTTATCACTGCTGACCTGAGCAACCATGGGCGATGAATCGAGTACCATGGCAAGTAGTCGGATAAAAAATTGAAAAATCCCTCCTCAACATGAGTCCAAGTGTTGGAATGTGAAATGGGAAGCCAAACGATTTCATAGCTTCCTTCTAGCTTAATCCGGAGAGGATGATCGTATGCCTGCTGCACCAGCAAGAGTAGTCCCTCTATAGGCATGAGCTCTGGCTTTGAGACCAACAGTATGACTATCTTGTCTTTCAATTCAGACACACCAAGCTGTTAATAAACGCCAAAATGCTTAGAACGCGCGCGCATAACTTATGGAAAGAAATCTATACAAGCATATCAATTAAGATGAAGCAAACCTGTGCCTGCGAGGAACAATTTTTCAGTGGCAAGTCATTTTTCAAAGGGAATAGAAGACGAAGGACCTCTTGGTTGTCTGTGTGAGTCTCCTTAAAAAGATTCAAGAGCTTGTTATGCAAATTTGTCTCTGCAGTAATAGGAAAAGTTGGAATCAAATATCTAGTACTTTGCATATATAGTACCATTTTTGCAGTGAAAGGATTCTAAACCATTCTGAGAATCTGAACAATAACCTATTCGCTGATCACACACATCCACTAGCTGTCTAAGGTGACTGCATATGCTGCTCAACCTACACACCAAACTTGAGAGCTCCCACGCCGCAATGGTTTCTGAATTTGAATGCCTGAAAATAAAATTCTAAAAACATCACTACAGCATTCAAAATCAATGTAACGAACACAAGATCTATTCAAAACCTTCATGGGACACTAGAACTTTCAAAATAAATTCGGATATCTGTAAGCCTATTGAAGGGAAGGAACATGCACTTGCTCATTTTTAAAGGCTATCAAGTTTGTGATTTCCGAAGCACATGTCAGGGCACTCCTAATGATCCAGTAAGCAGCAGTGTAGATCCGAGACTTTGTAACACACAATGCCTCATTATCCAGGGCTACATGTTGCAGTGGCAGGCCTTCGAATTTGATGATGCACTTTGTCACATCTACCATAATCTTAACCAAAATGGTTAAGGCCTTAAATCGCGGCTTCAATGTGGTCAAGTCACCAGGCAACTGCTTAAGCATTGCTAACGAAGCTGCCAAGGGGTTATGAGGGTGCACTTGCATTATGAGCCAAAATTCACTGTAGATTGTCACAAAAGCAGCTAGTATCAAAACCACTTTCGCATCCCATCTATAATGCTCCAGCATACCAAACAAGATCATCGTTTTTGCATGTAAATTCCCTTCCACAAGACACTGGAGTAGCATCTGCATTTGCAATTTCAACCGAAATATTAGAGAGATCGAGATGGAGCTATAGGGAGTGAGGGGGAGGGATAGGAGATGACCTCGCGTGAGATCTTATAAATGGTGTGTCCTAGTGAATCTTCTGATCCAACTTCGTCAATGCTGCATATATTACTTTTTGCAAAGTCATCAAGATGCAGATAAGAACCCTGAAACGTACAAGTGTTTGATGTTTATTGAATACTTCAACTGTAATGTTTTGCATTTCATAGAATGAGCAACACCTATAAATGATTCTGTTGCAAATCATCACATAGTGACCAACAAATTCAGATTGACCAAACATGAAAATCACTACAAAATATTGTGATCTGCCATAGCCCATTTCTTTAAATCAAATGAGAGATCAGAAGTAATTATCAATTTGTATGACCTTAGTTTCTCGACCTAGTTTTAGGTCGATCAAGTTAAATGCTTTCTCATGGTGTCAAACATTGTGAAGGACACTGAAGTCATGAATAGCACAATAGTATGTGGAACATCATATACTATGCAGCATTTGTGTAGTGAACCAACAGGGAAACATGTTCATTTTGTTCTAAATTCCTAACACAATGCAGCAAATTTATGTATATTAGTGCATGAAACCATATAAGAATTTTTATTTTTTTTTAGAAAAAAAATAAATAAAATGAAGGTGAAATAGGAACATGGCAAAGCAAGTAATTAAGTTGTTACCTGTGTGGTAGTAGCATGGCACATGATAGTCTCCACTGCAAGAAGCAATAGCTCAGAATCGAGTCGACGACCATCAGGGTCATGGATGAGGTTGATCATCTTTATCAGGAAGTCATCTTCTGCAGACGACGATAAATGTGGTAAGAATTGTTCACTTCCAACCAAGTTCATGGCCAAAGTAGTGATTGGCGCCAAAGTAATAGGTTGAAGTAAGTTATATTGACTTGTGAACTGACATGTTCAGTTGTTCTACATATCAAATACTCATTTAGAAAAAGCCACAACATATCCCTATGTTGCTTAGACAAACCACATTGTCATATATTCTGATGCCTCCTATGACTGTCACTCTCACTCTCACATTCTGCTTCTATATACAAAGTCTCTGAAACATTATCATAGAAGATTGTCTTTTTTATTCTTTTCTTTATACATGAAGACCATCTAAAGAAGATGTCCTTGGGATTTTGAAGAATTGAATCATATTCAAGGCTTTCCCTTTTGCACTTTGGTGTTATTGTCAATAGTCCTGAAGAGGCAGCTCCCAAACTTGAAATAAGTAAACAACATATAAAAAAATAATAATACCATCCAAACCATTTCACTGGCTTCGCGCTTGGGTGTGGACAAAAAGTGTGTGTGAGCGGGATGTGAACAACGAAAAAATAAAAAAATAAAAAAAATAATTGTATGATCCAGACCTTTTCACTGGTTTGCTATTTACACTCTGTTTTGTAGTACAGTTCTTGTGGACCTGCAACATTTTTAGCGGATGCATTTGTGATGCGCCTTACAATATATGTCGTGCCAAAGAAAAGAAAAATATTCCAAAAGTGCTATACATGCAAATAACTTGCGTAAAAATCAAGGGTGGATTTAGGATTTCTCGTTAGGGTGGGTTAATATTAAACATAAATTTAATAACAAAATTTCTTAAGCAAAAAAAATAAAAAATTATAACATAATATAGATAAATATTTGAATTCAAAGATTACAAAATATCTATCTAAGTTGTGTTCGAAAAGTCTTTAAAGACTCGAATTTTTCAATAATAAATTTCAAGTCAATTTTCTAAACAAGCTCCCGTTCAAAGTTGATGGTAATGCAATCAGCAAGAAATTCATCTCCAATCCTGCTATGCATAGTTGTTTTTACACGTTTCATGCTTAGGTGGGAGGCTGAGGTCGGCTAATACTATTATCTTTTTTTTTTTTTTTTTTGGATCTGGGCTAATATTAGTATAGTAAACCTTTTTTTTAGGTTGGGCTATAGCCCAACTTTGCCCACCCCTCTGTCCGCCTTTGGTAAAAACTAACATCTATTCATTTACGACAGTGACAGACGATATTGGTGCTTCACATTTGACTTCAGAGTTGTTAATTTTAATAATTGAAATGACAAATTTACCCTTCCTCTCCTAAATGAAACCTCAAGAGTTTATTTGGGAATACAGTGCAAAGAGAAAGGCAAAATAGTCATTTCAGTTACCTTAAGCTAAAGTATTGGGGAAATGAAAAGGAAAAGAAAAAAAGGGGTGTTCTTCAACAGTTCGTAGCTCCTAGGAGACAAAAGCAAAAGTTGCAGGACAAAAAATAAAATGCGCGTATTACAAGTTTCACACTTTAGTAATAAAATCAGCAAAAACAAGTGTTATAGAAGTTGCTTTAAGATACTTCTTTATTGTCCATTGTGATTTTCATAACAACCTTTGAATCATCCACCTTTTCCCCATTTCACCAGTAAAGTGGTGTTGGGCAATGCTCACTTAGTAATGTTGTAGACATGTTAATCTGTGATGAAACTTTACAAATATATACATACATATATATATATATATATATATATATATATATATATATATTATTAGTAGGTAAGTGAAAATTTTACCACAAAAAAAGAAATGCTAATGATCTAAGCCAACAACCAAAAAACCAGGCCAAGCGACAAAATTTCAGGGCCAAAAGAAAGAGGAAGATAAAGGCAACAACCATCAAAGCTTCCAACAAAATAATGTGAAAGACAGCACCGTAAAACCCATGTCATGTCAAGGCTAGGCTGATTGATTAGAAAAGTCCAGTATAGATAGATTAGTGTAAGACAAAGCACACATTAGTATTAATCAATTTCACAAATATATGGTACTCTTTGTTTAGAAAAAAGGCAAGAATAATGATGACTAATTTGTCAAATTCTTAAGTTGAAATTTCAAAGTTTTCTAATGGATATTTGAGAAATAAAGCAATCAAAAAATTTGTATTTAATTTAATAATAGTTCACTTTTCTTCTCCTCCCATCTCTTTCGCCATTTTTTGACATAAAAAAATTTATAAAGAATGAAAGATGATACAATCCCCTATCATTCTTTTTTTTCCTTGCATAATCATTTCTATTGAACACCTTCTATTATCCTTTCTTTCCTCGTATGATTATCTCAACCGAACAAATATATTTAGCTCAAACTCTATTTCTATCGCAGCCCTGGTCTAAATACTGGAGTAAAGATATTGTCTCACAACTGTAATGCCATGGTCGATGAAGGCCAGAGACCTCACAACTGTAATACTGACCACAAATTGAATTCAGATGAGGTGCCAAATGGTTTCAATTTGGATCTATGCCTACATATATCAATCTACTAAATCGATCAATGAACTCTTTCTGGCCCGATATAATTATATTTATTCTACTAACCGTTTGAAATTAATTCTACTAAATGAAACTGGCCCTATATCAATATTAATTCCTACAAAGAAAGTTAGATAACTATGTTGAGTGTAGGAGAGCATATATTGTTGGAAATTTTTTTTATATATAAATAATAAAAATTATTTATGGTCCTATGCATTATGTTTTCTAAAATATGATTGTAATGTGATTATTGATATTGATGGATTGGGTTATACTTTCCAATTTGGTGATCTAATTGGGAGTATGATTTTATACAGTTGGATTGTGATTTTCCAACTTATTTAGAATGATTTAAGTCTAACCATTTATATTTAAGTTTCCATGATAGGAAGGGAGATTTAAGTATGTTTATTTGTAGAGAAGCCGTCCCCTGTTGTTGTTATATATAAGGGTTTTAAATCCTTATTCAACCCTATCGAATGACAACTCTCAGAATGGGGTAAAGCACTCTAATATTTTGCAGAATCATAAAGAATTGTAAAGCTATCCTCCAAAATCAAAAAAGTATATATGATTTAATCATTAATCAGGTACAAGACTAAATTCTCTATTTAATTAATTGTAATATTCTTGATTTCTACATGTGAATTATTTGATTAAAACCCAACAATTGGTATCAGAGCCATGTTAGTACTATGATTTATTTTGTAAAAATCATGAAAAATAATTAAATATATATTATAAATTATTTCAACACACAGCACGTAATTTTAGGTGGCTGATTTTCTCTTCAGATCACTGTATGTATAATTCGTCCGAGTATTGCCTTCAGTTCATACTATACATTAGCATCCAAAACTGCATGTCAGTTCTAACCTCGTCAAACATGTGTGGCCAATTTGAAGGATTGTTGTTAATTGTTGAATATTAATTGTTGTCTGTGTGTACCACCAACAATTGATTCATATATGCTTATTATTATTGAATCGTATTTGTTGGTATATTAGAATGTAATATTAACTTATGTTACATATATCAAGCTTTTGATATCTCTGCCATGAGGTGTGGATCTCGAATCGCGTGCGTGAAATTGGATACAATGAAAGCTTTAATATCTTTAGTTATGGGGTCTATGCTTTGGGATAACCCGCATGTAAAGTGTAATACGGAGTATATATTTATATATCGTTGTTTCATATTGTATCACACCAGATATATATAATCTGTACATGACTAAATTGTTTCTTTTTTAAACTAAATTGATGGAGGATTAAAGTGGTCTATCTTGATTTCCATGCACTATATGTTTCTTGAACATCAGTACATGCATAAAGTTTTGAATTATTAATGTAATATTCAATTAGTTGGGGCTTTCTATGTGATGTTACTGATGTGTATAAAGGCATGCATGTGGTTCTAATAGAAATTAGAATATAAATATATAATATATATATACATCAGTATATGCATAAAGTTTTGAATTATTAATGTAATATTCAATTAGTTGGGGCTTTCTATGTGATGTTACTGATGTGTATAAAGGCATGCATGTGGTTCTAATAGAAATTAGAATGTAAATATAATATATATATATATATATATATATATTGATTTGCACTTGCTGCATTAGTTTGTGCAATATGATTGAAGGCACGAAAATTTTAAACCATAACTCTGGTATGTACAAAATTCTATCATTCATAATATATTGCATATCCCAGTTGATATGATTAATGGAATATAATAATTCATATTATATTATATGGGGTTTTTGAATGATTTAAACCTCACTATTGATACTTATACCACATGTATTAATATGAGGTATATTTTTTGAATTACATGCACAAGTGACCTTGTAGTTTAATGTGAAGTTATGTGGCAGTTTGGCCAACCCGGCCCTACGTCCAATGCTAAGTAATTCATGATGCTTGTTTAATTTTAAGTTGAAAGAACTTATGGGACTTGCATGTCATAAAGAAGTATTATTGACCTAACTGATTTAAAGATTCAAGGTTTTAATTGTTTAATTTTAGGTTGAAAAACCTATGGGGCTTGCATGTCATGAGCAAGTAGTATTGACCTGATTGATTTAAAGAATTGAGATTTTTAAATCTCGATTGACATGTATGTTATTATTATATTGTTCATTGTAATTTCTTGTATGATGAGACTTTATTTTATTGGTGTTAAAGTCATTTATATTACGGTGAAATCAAGTGTTCCATAATATTTGGATTTAGTTTATGTGCATTATAAAGAAATTGTTGAACTTAAATAAATGGAACTTCTTCAATTTAGGTTTTTCCTTTGGGTTTGGGAAGACCAGTGACCGTTTCAAATGTGGCAGCCAAAGTGAGTTGTGATACTCCTCGATTCTAGAGCCACGGGTAATCAAGTCTGAGTACAGATCCGAGGGATATCAAACAATTAAAGTATTTAATTGAACACAGAATACAAAATAAATTAAGAATAAATAAATAAGTGGAAAGAAAACTAAATAACGAATCCTTAAATTAATAAATAAATAATCCTCCAAATGAAATATCCAAAACCTCTGATATCATTACAACTCAAGAATCCATCTAGTGGACCCCTAATAATATCCCAACTGAAATAATTGAAATAAAACATAATCCGAAACTAAAACATGAAGAAGAATCATACGTAGAATCGAAAGAATAATGTGGACTGTCTCTGCTTC